TCACTTTGTGAGAGAAAATGTTTAGTAAAAAATTATTAGTACTCCTTATGTTCGAAATGAAAATCGACTTGCCAACATGTTTACCAAAGTTATTGTAATAACAAAGTTTCATCAGATATTGTCTAAGTTGGGTTCTATTGATATCTACGCACCAACTTGAGGGGGAGCGTTGATAATTATAAGAACCAAATATTGAGTTTCTTATATTGTATATACAAGATATTAAGTTTTATATATTGAGTTTATTTAATTTCATATTTTGTGGGATTACAATTGTAATGGGACTATATTTCCTAAAAGGCAATAGTTGTAACTCTAGTAAACCAGAGTAATCCCTATAAATGATAAATTGGTTTACCTTATGTGGATGTAGGCACCGTTGCCAAACCATATATATGTTGTATTGATCAATTTTTCTCTCTTCTCTATTTTGCTTATTGCAACTTCAACACGATACAGTTAAGATTAGTACTATGCCACATGCGAGTAGTACAATCATTTTCCTTTTCTTCTTATTTTATTGAGCCCATTGGTTCAATGTCACTATCTTTGAGTCTTGTCGCTATATGTAGAGGTCGAATGAATACAATGGAGTTCATGATTTTTCATACCATTGGAAATTTGGATATTCATTATAATTATTTTGAATGAGATTGTCTACAAAAAAACTATTTATCTTTTGTACATAGAAGACACAATCATTCCCACCCATTCGATGTCAAATTGGATGACTTGGGGTGACTTACCAAGTCCAATAGTTTTTTTTTTTGAAACTTTGTGTTCATTCAATGACACTCTTACAACTACCCATTTTGAAATTTAAGGGATAAGAATGATTGCGACTTTCATATACAAAAGATAAAACGGTATCTTTGTAGACATTCCCATTTTGAATTGAACCTCATAGAGAAAAAACACATATAAAGTACCAAAGAAATAAGGGACATTTATTGAAAAAAATAGTTCATTGAAGGAAAAAGTTTATATAATGTGTAAGTCTTGTATCTTAAAAATCTACCTAAAAAGGTTGTTCCAACATCAAAAAAACCCTAAAATTGATCATCTTGACTTAAAATGTAGATATACCAAAAAATAGCACATCTTGTAACATATCATCTGTAGTCAATTTTCAAAAAATTTGAGCGTCTATAGATTTGCTCGGTCTATACTATTTTTATGACTTTAAATGTCATAATTAGGTGTAAAAATGGATTTTCAAGCCATTTAAAGAGTTTACAGACCAGAACTACATCTTTTAGCAAGATGTTGATGTGTGCCTTGCTTGGATTGTTTAAGGTTGACCCCTTATACACCCTGCATTTTGAAATTAAATCATAGATAAAACATTAGCGAGTTCATCTTGTGAATTTTGATAAATTTCTCAAGAATTAAACCGGTGAAACATTTTTGTGAGGCCAAGATGCAACTGTGTGCCATCTATTTCAAATGAACTACAAGAAGAAAATAGATGGTTACACCATGCTGGCTAGTAGCAGGTGTGTTGCGACGCTCATGATATGATTTATTCGATGAAAAAGATATTAAATAAAAATTGCAATTTTTTTAGTTCACTCAATATTATTTTATAGTTGCTTTATTTTCCATTGACCTTTTTCTAATTTTCCTTTTGAAAAAGCTAATATTTGGAATTCTATTATTTTAAACGATTTTTATATTTGATTGGCATAAGCCGATCCCAATTACTTAAAAAACGGCTTCGATGATGATGATAAGATTTAGGTTTTGAATGGCAATAAAGTTTGCAATGAAAATAAGCTTCTATTTACCTGTAAAGTATATGTAAGATATTTACTCATCACTTGGACATAGATGGGGTATTCAATTACAACTTAAAAGGGATATTTATCGAGATACCTACAAGAGATGACCAGTCAATAATTTACCTATTTACAATTATTCCAACTCTTATCATGGATATTTTGAAATTAATAAAAAGATACGGGTAGCGTGTAAAAATTATTTATCCATCATATATAATTTGATAGGTGTCGTTTATTTAGATGATTTTTTTTTTTCTCAATAAAAGTGTACTTCTTAAAATTTCAATCAAGGTATTTATTATAGTGGGGTTTGAACATTGGGTTGGATTAGGAGGTAGTTGCACTAAATTTTTATTTTATAATAAGGATTGTCTATAAAGATACCATTTATCTTTTGTACATGGAGGTCACAATCATTGTTGTCCTTTGAATTTAAAAATGAATGGTTGTAAGAGTATCAACACAAAATTCGAAAAAAGAAATTCTCTAACTTCATGTTTAAATTTTAAAATCGGTGGTTGTAAGAGTATCATTGAACATGCTCAAAGTTCCAAAAAAGAAATTATCAGACTTCGTGACTCACACCAAGCCATCCAGTTTGACATCTAATAAGTGAGAACGATTGTGAACTCTATGTACAAAAGATAAATGGTCCATTTGTAGAAAATCCCATATAAAAAACTTAAAAAAATACATAACAAAGTTAGAAAATACTAATATGTTAGCTAGTAATATACGTTTAGATGATTTAATAGATTTTAAATTAATTTGGGAACTTCCATATTTTTCCTTTTTTAAATTTTTTTTTATGAAATATACAATGTATAAATCAAGTTTTTCAATAATTTATCATTTATTGATCTTTTAATCTTATTTAGACTTCTTAAAATTTTTCTAATTTTAAATAATTTTACATTTTTTTGACCTTTATTTATGTCTATTTATTAATTTTCTTGGACTCGATTGAGTTACTCGCATTGGCCAAGGGCCAAGTACCTTGGCCAAGGTGATTTCCTAAACATTGTTGATTATTTTGACGAATGTCACTTGACTCTGTTTAGGGTATAATTTTGTTTTGTTTTTTTTTTTAAGATAAGATGACATGCAAATTTTGGGGTTTAGATCCTTGTACGCAGGTTTCGGGCTGCAGGAGTAAGTGTACATTGTACTATTGCAGGAGTAGTCCATTCCCTTGAATCCATGTGCTGCAGGAGTAAGTGTACATTCTACTCTTGCGGGAGTAGTCCACTACCTTGAAAGCCTGTGCTTTAATCTGATGTGAGAACATTTTATAATTTTAAAAACCTATTTATGCCATGAAGTGCACGTGTGCACATACACAAACACAGCGCTTCAAAGAACTCAAATTGGAAAGGAAGATATGATCTAGTGTTGTGGTTTGTATAAGGTTGCAAACTTAAACAATCAAATTAAGGCACACCTCCAAATCTTATTATAAATATAATTTTTGTGTTAAATTTTATTTAGGATGGGTTAATAATCTATTTTCATCTCTACTTATAAAATATTAATCTTTAAAAATGATTCAAATCAATTAGATCTATAAATACTTGAAAATCGTGAAAATTGACAGTCCAAATAATGTGTTGCATACATTATTTTTAGAACTCAATATCGTGAAAATTGACAGTCCAAATAATGTGTTGCATACATTATTTTTAGAACTCAATAATTTTTTCCTTTTATATTCATACATCTAGATATTTAGATGATCAATTAGAGGGTTTTCAACATCAAAACAACCTTAACCTTTTATGATGGACTTTTGAGGTGCACCATAATTCTACATTTTAAGGATGCAAACCTTACATAAACTTATTCCATGATCTAAGGGTCAAAGTAACAATCGTTATCACGTGGTTTATCACCGCCAAGTTAAATGTTTGGAACTTTGGATAGTTATGAAGAGTAACCCGGCAAGGTACTTTTATTAACTGCACTGCACAGTCGGACCCAATATCCTTTATCAACATCCAACATATTAGTAGAACGGTGATAACCTCATGATTATAAGGTTATGATGACCATATGGATCATATGGCCCTAAATTCCATATAATTCAAGGGTGTTGTACATGATGCTATTTATGCTCTACAATATAATACAAAGAACAAAATGGGGTTTGGGTCATGTTGGTAGCACTACTTGTGCTCCAATTAAGGTCTAGGCTTCCATTATCACCTAACACATTAAAAAACCACTAACAATTTAAAAAACATGTAGGGGCTCGTCATTCCCGCTGAATTATCCAAAAAAATAATAATAACACAAAGAATATTTACGCCACACAACAAAATGCAAAGGAAGCGGCTCTGATCATATTCTTAGCATCCCCTGCAAAATTATGGCAATGGAGAACCTATAATGCCATCAAAATTCATTAAAAAAAATGAAAAAAAAAAAAAGCCTTTGCCTTTGTTTGGGATTAGTGGTTAAGACACATGAAAATAAAATAAAATAAACTTTGTCTTTGTTTGGGATTAGTGGTTAAGACACATGAAAATAAAATAAAATAAACTTTGTCTTTGTTTTGGGATTAGTGGTTAAGACACATGTGAAAAGGTGGAGAACCCCTTTTCTAATATAATGCAAAAGTCATTTAGCAGTAAACACATTTTGGGATCAAATAAAATCTCCTTAACATAATGTTTTAGGTTTTTAGAATCAAATGTATAATTTGGCCTGCAGGACCAACAAATCTATTTCTTAAAGTGAAAAGTCCAAATCATTATGTAAAAGAAAAAGTTTATATAAGGGTGAGGCCCTAAACAATCAAATGAGGTGCACCTCAAAGGTTCAGTAGAAGAAGAGGTTGTTTCGATGTTGAGAAACCCTCAATTCGATCATCTCACCCTTAAGATGTATGGACGTGAGAAAAAAATAGATTTCAAGTGCTAGAAACAGTGCATATTGTTATGTAATATCTAGACCGTCAATTTTCAAGATTTTTAAGTGTTTGTAGATCTGCTCGATCTATAATATTTTTAATCTTTAATTTTCATAATTAGATGTGAAAATAGATTTGCAGGTCACGATAAAGATTTATGATATTGGAACAACATATTTTGGCACTATTTGAAAATGCGCCCTACTTTGATTTTTTAGGGCCTTGGCCTTATACAAACCATACCCTTATGTGAAAGACAAGGTGAAGGATAGCAATCGAGACAAATCAAGACAAATGACCAAAGGCCGTTGTGTTTCTCACATTTCCATAAAAGAACATTAAATAATAGCACATTGGTACAAAGCAAATGAGCCTAAAGAGCCCAAAAATAATCAGTTTTTGCTTATAATTCTTGTCATTTCAGGCCTTTGCTCCATAGATAGAAATGGATCGATGATCTTGCTCCATAGCCTATTACCTCTAATCTTGATCAATCACTCCACATGTAACATTTCCACTATGTGAACCCATGGTCCCTGCTTTCTATTTACAATTATCTTCGCACTTGATGACCAATCAACAAAGCAAACTATCCACCCAATTCCCAAACACATTGGCCTCAGCCCAACATCTCCACCCAAACTACAAGTAATCTCACCATTATCCAATCACAATTATTCAATAGAACCGGCCCTAACTCAATTTTTTTCTAAAGTTAAAACACCTATAATTACAGAAAAAGTATATAATAAAAACCATTTTCTTTTGTTACAAGAAGGTTATAATCACTTATAGTTATAGATGTAAAATTAGATGGTTGGCGTTCTGTTATACCATGCTCAAAGACCAATTGTACTAGAGAAGGTTATGGTTGATTATGACCCTCTTGTACCATAGATAAATGGTTTCACGATATACGATATCATAATCAAAAGGGCTGTTGACCAAAATTGATCATAGAGTCAGCTACCTTATTGAGATCAATCGCATCATCCTGTGATTTCTTTATGTACCTCTGTCGCCCATTCGGCACGTGAATCTGACTTAGTTCTACGATACTTCTACGCCTCTTTATGGGGAGTTTGAGAACCCTCATCCCTTGGCCTTCCAATGAGTTCAGTTTATTGTAAGAAGAGGACATATCACAACTCCCACCTTCATTTGAGTTTCTTGAGTCTCCAACTTCCTTGGCCACAAGCAGATCGTTTCTTGCTTTATCTACCTTTATTGGTTTATCCATGGCAAGATTTGTGTGATCGAAATCTTCCCATTCAAATGTGGGTTGCCAAACCCTACTATTCTTCCCTTGATCATGAATACTTTGCTCCATTTCTCTCATCAAATGCTTCCTTTCAATCTCTTTGTTGAGGATATCATTGAACTGCTGAATCTCCTGCGTTTGCACGATCCATTCAGGGTTGTTCTCGTAGTTGGCCTGATCCATATCTTGCATATCTTTTCCTAAAATGTGGTTTCACAAAATGTCAGATATCTATAAATGAATTATTGGTGTGTTTGGTTGTGTGTATTCCTAAAATTTGGTTTTTATCAAATGTGAGTTATTCATGATGAAATGGATTATTGGGTGTGCTTTTTTTGTGTGCGCACCTTCCTAAAATTTTGGTTTTCACATAATGTGAGTTATTCGTGATAAAACGCATTATTGGGTGTGTTTGTGTGTGTTGTTTTTGCATTCCACAAACAAGTATGCTAGAAGTAGAGGATTAAGGAATTTTTTTATAAAAGGCTACAACCTTGTAGGTAGTAAGGTTGCGTTACTCTACACGTTCTCTTTTATTTATCCATTTTATTGGGACGGTGTAATTTGAGACATGCTACATTTTGACATTGTTTTAAAAAACGTATCAATTCTATTCTATTCACCTATAATAGATGATACCTGTAATAGATTGGATTGTATACTCTGAGATCATTTATCTTTGTTATAACAAGTTCACAGTTACTCTTAGCCATTAGATGTAAAATTAGATGGCTTGGATTATATCACGAAGTTCGAAAAATTCTTTTTGACCTTTTAGTCAATAACACACTCACAACCCTCAATTTGAAACCTCCTTGTAGTAAAATAAATGGTCTCTTTATATACTTTTCAATAATGAATGATGTTGAACATCACAACCTTATTTCTACGTATAAATTTACCGCCTTATCTCAATTTTGCCTCTAAATAGAAAATTTGAGGCCATCTAATCTTCAATCATTAGTTTAAGAATATGGATCAAACTCCCACATACATCCAAGGATCCATCCATTTTAACTTCTTTGAGGGTAAGTATCATGGTGGTGATAGAAATCTATTTGATGCTGCTCTTATTTATGAAAAAGGACCTCAAAAAGCAAAACTATGTTCTTTTCTCGATCTCAATGTAACATGGATCAAGGAATTTCTGTCTCTCTCCCTCCCTCCCTCTCTCTCTCTCTCCCTTGAGACACATAATGTAAAAGGTAAATCTGTAAACTACCAGGTTGGATACTTTGATCTCTCTCTCTCTCTTCTCTCTATCTCAATGTAACATGGATCATGGGATTTCTCTCTCTCCCTCCCTCTCTCTCTCTTGACACACATAATGTAAAGAGTAAATGTTTAGACTACCAGGTTGGATACTTTGATCTCTCTCTCTATTTATATATATATATATATATGACAGACACACATACTATAAAGAATGGCATGGCACAATATCACAAGTATTATTCTCACCTAGAAACTCTGAAGTCTAGCAAGTAGCAATGGCTGAAAATCACCAGATATTGTCCTCCTACACAGTGTAGGCTACACTTGCATTCTCTTGGGGGGAAATGGAGGCCAAAGTCTGACCTCCAAACACCACTATCATCTCTTCCATTATTCTTTGAAGTTTCTATCTTCTCTCTCTCTAAAATCTCTATTTCTCTCTCTAAATTTTACAATTTTTTTCTCTCCTCTCTCTAGAGTTAGAGAGGCCAATGCGTAACATTGTAAATGTTAAGTTGGTCTATATATAGAGAGAGAGGAGGAATATGATGGGGTTGGTAGAACGTTTTGCAGAACGTGGAATGCTGATTGGACGGTCCTGATCTTGTGGAAACCAAATGAACGGTTAGATCGATGATTGCGTTAGTGGGGGTTAATCTTGACCGTCCATTTTAGAAATTGGCAGGTTCCTTCGTGGGGCTTTAGGTCATCAGCCAATATTTTTATTTTGTGGGCAGCTTCATGGAAAAGAAGCTTTTGGTGGATGACCAAAAATACCCCTCGTATTTATTGAATGCCTAAGATATCGTCATTCTTTTTTGGGATGGCATCAACAAATTTTTAATGTCAAAAGGCCCTTATTTTTGCTATAATTACTATTTTAACCCATCCTGCTCCTCGGCTAGCAGTATAACAATATTAATGAGATCCCAAAAATATTGGTTAATGAAGAACTCAGGGACTTGAAAAATGCAATCCATTATCTTACGGGTTTTATCAGTTTTTGGATTTTTTTTTTAACGGTAAATATAATTCATTGAGATAACGATTAAATTCATCAGTGTTTATCTACACCTTCCTCCTAACACATTGTCATTGGAGATCCACAAATGTTCACCAGGATTCATTTTGAATTCGTTTTGTCGTGCTTATGTAGGATTTCAGATAAAAATGTTGGTTGCTGCCAATGTTGAAAACCACGGGCTCAGGATGGGATTCACTAGGATCTGGAGTCTGAATCACCAGATTTGACTTGGGCTAGGTTTTAATAGGAATTGGTGATTTTTAAACAAATTACTGCTTCTTTCGAAAAAAAATCAAAGACTCACGACAAGTCCAGAGGTTTTTCCTCAGGTCCGGTGGATCATATGCCAAGCTAGCCAACTCAGACAAGTCTTGAGCCAAGTCTCTGATTAAGTGTTGGTCTGATGGCCAAATTGTAGACTAACAAATTACTAATTTCTTCAAAAATCAAATCATGGGGCTAGGCTAGAGGTTTCACCTTGTGGTCTTGGGAGGGCAAAAAACCAAGCTAGCCGACTCAGGAGAGTCTTCATCTGATTCACTAAATTTTTAAGTATAGGCCCTGATGGCCAAGTTTCAGACAATTGTGTAAATAATTTGATTCCATTATTTTAACAAATATAGCCTATTTCAACTTTCTCCCCCGGTGGATTAGGACCAATGACTTGACTTGGTCCATGTCTGGACCGATTTTGGACCTAACATGCCTAGTCTAGGTCCATTTAACTCCCTGTTGGGATGACTCCAACCCCGATCAGGTACATATTAGTATAAATATATATAAAATATATACTATATTTTTTATTTTCAGACTTGGAAGCCTACCGAACTTAGTGGGTCTAGTCCGGGTCTAATTTTAGGTCCAACTTTTATAACTAATCGCATCGAGTCTGATTCGAGGTCGGCCCATACTCGACTCGACTCGACTCATTCCCATGTAACTTCAAAGGGTATGCACTCATGCCATTATGACCATATAGGGTGGGCATATAATGGTGATTTGGGAGTTGGTTCGACTTATTTGTCATTTTGAGAAAGTTTTGTATAGCTTTTTCACAATCCTTTTGTCATTGTGAAAAAGGTGTGGGCTCCAAAATGGGTTTCGTGTGGAAATTAAAAACCTTAAAGTGTCACGTGTAAAACTTTGGAAAACATACGTCACTGCCATGACGTTTTACTTCAAACTTGGAAAGAAAACGTATGGAAAAAGAGCAGCAATTGCAAAGAAACTTTATAAATTATTCAAATAAAAAAATTTCAAACCTACTCTCATACCCATTTTAACTTTTTTATAATTTATGGGAAAATAGTTTGATAGGACTGCAGCTTTATCAAAGTAAGTAAAACCTCCTTTAATAACTCATCCACATTTGCGATACACGTATTGAAAAACCTTTACATTGATCATCTCAACTTCGATATTATGCTTGTAAAAATAAAATAGATTTAAAGTTTTAAAAATAATGTATATTGTAACAAATTATTTAGACCGTTCATTTTGTCCTAAAAATAAATGTTTATATATCCACAAGAGTTATATCATTTTTTTAATTTTAAATTTCATTGTTGACGTCGAAAATTAATTTTAGAGCAGGTATGAAGATTTTTTTTTGCTGAAAATACTTCCCAAATAAGGCTTTGAGGTCGCTTTCATAAAGCTTTGGCCTTATAGAAACCTGGTCTTATTTGATACTCCATCCAAAGGACCATTAAAATGTTAATGATGATGTCGAGGTCGAGAAAAAACGTTGAACCATCGTGGTACTATTACTACCTCGATGGTCTACCAAACAACTTGTGGTTTGAGTGGGTCGTTGGACCATTATGGTTTGAATAGATATGGAAGGCAGCTTTTGTAAATAAAAAAAAAAGAATTTCGTATAGCTCATATTATTTCATGGTATATTTTTTTTTCGTTTTTCTTTCAAGCGGCATAAGAAAATATCTAAGGATTTAACTCTACCCTTTCATATCTTATCTCCCTCTTTTATTGATTTTTTATCATAAAAATTAGCCCTAACAAATCTTTTTATATCATTTTATATGAAAAACTTTTTTAAGCCTCTTTTTTTCTTTCCACTAATTAAAAACGTTTTTTAGTTGAAATGGTATAAAAAGATTTATTGATGCTAATTTTTATGATCAATAGTCAATAAAAGAAGAAAATAAGAGATGAGGGGGTATGGTGAAATCTTTAGAGGTTTTCTTATGCTCCTTGACAGAAAAACAGAATGAGGGTCTACCATGAAATAATACGAGGAATTAGGGTTCTATACGAAATTTTTTCAAAAAAAATTCATGGAAAGTCAAAGAACGGGTATAGATGTAGTTTTTAAATAATTTGGGTATTTTTTCAAATTTATTAAAAATTTGGATATTTCTAATATAAAAATGATACTATGAGACCCTCCCACACCTATATGAGTAGGACCTCAAAGGATCACCATTAAATTTTGACACAGAGCTCTATAAAAGTTATTACATGGGGGTGGAACTTGAGTGAATGGGTTTATTGATAACTCTTATAAAGATTTGCGTCAAAAATTAATGGTGATCATTTGGGCCCTACTCACATAGGTGTGAGAGGGTCTCATGTTATCATTACTCATAATATTACATAGTAGTAAGAATATAAATTAAACTGTACAGATATTTATCAAGGGATTGTCTACAAAGAGATAATTTATCTTTTTTGTACATGGAGGACACAATCATTTTTTATGTAAAATTGGATGGCTTTGAGAGAGTTACGAAGCCCGATAATTTTTTGTTTGGAACTACGTGTCTACTCAATGATACTCTTACCACCACCCATTTTGAAAATTTAGGGACATGAATGACCTTCATGTATAAAAGATAAATATCCTCTTTATAAACAATCCCATTTATCATAGTGCACCTTAGGGATGACTTTTTTCATTATTATTACTTATTTTATGTTAATTTAATGGAGTAGTCAAAATACACGTGATCATGACTTGGAATAGTTTAAATGGGTGAAATATTAAATAATCGAGGAGTTTGGTGTGTTTTAAGTTCTCTTGATTTTCTATATCATGTACATGGATTATAAGAAAAGCAATTTGTGGTATAATTTCTACATAATTTCTAGTATACCAAAACCATAATATAATAAAGGCAAGTTTATTTAGAGCTAAGGCTCTAAACAATCAAATTAGAGCCCACCTCACTAGAAGATGTTGTTTCGATGCTCAAATATCATCAAATTAATCATCTCGACATCAAGATGAATGCATATGAGAAAAAAATGGATTTCAAATTTTAGAAATAGTGCATCTTGTAACACATTTTTTGGCCGTCAATTTTCAAGATTTTCAAGTTTTCATATATCTGCTCGATCTACACTATTTTTGAAGCTTTAAATTTTATAATTTAAGAAAAAAATATATTTTAAAGCTATCACAAAGATTTCTACTATTGAAACTACATTTCTCGACACTATTTGAAGTGCACTTTACTTTGATTGTTTAAATCTTCGGTTCTATACAAACCACACCCTATAAAAAATACTTATCTATACTTATTGCTTTAATTTATATTTGTTGTCAATTCCTTGCAAATTTCTTCCCTTTTACCATCTTGGAAAATTCAAGTTGCTTATTTTCTGATTTCATACATCTTATTTTTGAAAAAATTTAATGAGATAATACCAGGAAAACTTAAAATTTTATCACAAAATGATTTTACCCAGGTTATCAGCAGGGTTTGGTTTGCATAAATGTCGTAATCTAAAACAATCCAATTAAGGCACGTCTCCAAATTTTATCATAAGATTAATTTTAGTGGTTAAAATTCTTACGATGGCCTAAAAATCCATTTTCATAATTATTTATAAAATATTAAATTCTAAAAATTGGTTAAAATCAAGTAGATCTATAAACACAGGAAAATATTGAAAATAGATGGTCCACATAATTTGTTGCAAGATACACTATTTTTTTTACTCAATTTACTTATCTTTTTATATATATATATATTCAACCATCTCGATATATAGATAACCAATTAGATAGTTTTCCAAGATCACAACAAGTCCTTTTTGATGGATTTTTTGATGGATTTTTGAGGTGCACCTCAAATCTATATTTTAAGGTTGCAACCTTACATAAACTTTTTCCTTATAAGAATCAGAATTCATCATGGTAAAATAAAGAGAACATGAATTCATTGCAGATAATTGTCACTAAGCTCCACATTACAGAAAAAGAACTTAAAATATCATCTATTAGCAGTTGGGTTTCTTACAGTTTCCTAGAGGCTCTTTAAGAATGGGAATTTGGAGTGGTTTATCCCCTCAAAGCATCTCTCCCCCATCCATCTTTTGTCAAGATGGACGGTTCATACTGTACAAAATGGTGTAGAAAATCTAAACGGTCACATTTTACACAAACTTTGTGGAATATGTGGTCTATGTTATACAGATACTGGTACGTGT